GGCTAAGTTCACCTTTAAGCAAAGGATTTTAAAGACAAATTTGCATATCTGGGAGCTTGAGAGGATGGATCCGTTCCAGGTGTTTTTCTTTTGCATGGTTATTCTTCACTGAATATTTTGTCTGTTTCTAATCAACTTCTACAACATTTGATTGCATTGTTGTTTTTATGTGTTGTTATGAACCACTCAGAGAGTTTTGGCTCCTGCATAGTATAGAAATGGACTTATTAATTGTAACAACAATGTTTTCCGTCAATGCATAATTTGCAAGCACATTGGAAGTGCTGGTTGCCACAACTTAAAGCCCCAAATAGTTCAGGATGTGGCTACCTCAAGGGCCATTTCCTCTCGTGTGAGCTTGCCCACGCTTTAAGATCAGCTGCTGCACCTTTTGGGAACCTTCTATCATATGTGGTAGACCTGCGGTAACGTGAAAAAGTATTGGATTAAAATACATAAATGGCTTGAGGAAATCTTACAAAAACCTTTCGCTTTTAAACCTGAAGTCTTCTTATTAGGCATTATACCTGTTGATATTAGTAAACAAGAAATGTACTTGATTTTACATGCAATTACTGTGGCGAGGATTGCATTTGCTCAACACTGGAAAAGTGAAGAACCACCCACTGACGAACTGATTTTAAAAAAGATCTTGGACTGTGCAGAAGTGGATAGATTGACTTTATCATTGAAGGAGAAAGAAGATACTGACTTCTATCAAACTTGGGATTCTTTTTATTATTGGCTAGAGAAACGGGACTTCGTATAGATTTAAATATGCTTTTAAGTTATCATAAATGGAAAAAAAATGTGGAGGCTGACCCAGCAGGCCCGATGTTTTTGGTGATTGATGTTTTTAGTTTTTCTTTGTTTTTTTTATTATTATTATTATTATTATTATTATTATTAGAACATTTCTATGCCGCCCCTTGCCGAAGCCTCGGGGCGGCTTACAACACAATAAAATACAATACAATACAAAAATAACAATATAAAATTAAAATTAATAATATAAAATAAATAAAATAATATAAACGATATAAAAGAAGTTATAAAAGTTATAAAAGAAAAGAAGGAAAGAAAAGAAGTCACCCTGGCCAGATGAATAAGTGAATATTGTTAACAATTAAATTTTAGGATTATAGTTTCAAATGAAACTTATTATAAAAAAAGATCGGCTGCCGCACCCCTCGTACCGGTGCCATTGGGTTCAGGCCACCGCTGGAAGCAAAAGGCAGCGGGGCTTTCTTGGTGTTGGCTCCCCACGTGCAGAACTCCCAGTCCTGAGAGGCTGGGTGGGTCATCGTCCTCCTTAGCTGCATCGCATCAGCAGGTGAAGTTGCAGCTGCTTCCTTTTGTTTATTTATGGCCGGGATATGTTCCTGCATGTGCTTGCTACTTTTTTCACTCGTTTTGATTTTCTGGTTTTAGATTTTTGGGGGAAGGGAGAGTAGGCAAACTGTCTTAAAATAGATGAATACATTTTAATTTTTTTTCAAGCAGCGAGATGATGTGTGCTTGCGTGTCTTTGCATCACCGTGGGCATGATTTTTGAAGACGCGTCACAGAAGCCAAGGAAGGGGGGCTGCCAGATGTGCAAGGAGGACATGGACTCTCCTGCCCATGTTCCCCAGCAACAGTACCCAGAGGGACGCTGTCTCTGCCACCAGAAGCAAGCGGTTCCCTTTTGGTGTGAAAATTCGAGGTATGCATTCTGCACCGGATGGGATTAGAACTATTTATATCCAGAATAATTAAAATAATCCAGGCAGCGGATGAAAAGCTTTTAAAAAATGATTACTGAAGGGCACGATCCTATGCAAGTTTACACAGAGGAAAGTCCTAGAGAAGCAGAGTCCTCAGTCGAGAATCCCCCCCCCTCCCAAATTTGGCGTTTGCAGAAATAGAAAAGGACTCTTGGGGGGCTCAGTGGGGAAGGAACAGGACCTACCTTCTGCTCCAGGTGCCACTTGCCCGATTGCTCCCCCCCCCCCCCGATTTGCGTGCACGCGGCTGCACCAGGGCGTGTGTGTACGCGTTGCGGGGTGGGGAGGAATGATAGCGCCTCGGGCCCCGCCGCAGAAAAGAAATCAGCGTAACAAAGCCGGGGAGCTTGGCGAGCGCCGAGGAGGACTTTCTTTGGAGGACGCTTCTGCCGCGGACATGCCAACGCGCTAGTCCTTAAGGTTCCACGCGAACCGTTCGAACCCAGAAGTGGCTCTCGCGTCAGGCCTGGCGGCGGGCGACTCTAGGACCCAGGACGGGGAGGCGGGCGCGAGGGAGGGCGCAGGGGCTGGGGAAGGAGCAGACGTGTGTGCCGGCGGGTGGGGAGGGGGCAGAGGGAGCCGAGCTGGGCTGCCGGCCAGATCCAGTTGCCCGCCCTCCCCCCGCTCCCCGGCCGCCTTTCTCTGCAGCGCGGAAGGTCTTGGTGGGGAAGAGCAGAACCGGTGGGGGAAGGAACGGCAGCAACGTGCAACAGACGGAGGAGGTGAAACGGGGCGCCGGGTGAAAAGAAGGGCAGAAAGAGGGACACGGGAGGGAGCGAGGGAACACTTTGCAAGCCGTGGAAGGAACGGAGGGAGGAAGGAAGGAAGGAAGGAAACACTTTGCAAGCCGTGGAAGGAACAGAGGGAGGAAGGAAGGAAGGAAACACTTTGCAAGCCGTGGAAGGAACGGAGGGAGGGAGGAAGGAAGGAAGGAAAACTGAGTGGGGAGTCGGCGCGCAGGAGTTTTGCAGAAGGAAGAGCGCGGAGGACAAAATGGGAGGGGGCGGCGGGCGCCGGGGCGCATCCCCTCATCCAACAGATGGGCGAAGGGAGTAATCCCCGTGCCCCAGCCGGGAAGGGGGCGGCCGGGCGCGGGGGGGGGGGGCGGGGGGGGGGGGGAGCCGGGCGCCCCGCGGTGGGCGAGCGCCGCTCCCGGGCGCGCCCCGCTGGCCGCTGCGCCTCGCCAACTCCGCGGGCCGGGGCGCCTGGACGCCTGTGGCGGGTGCCCGCGCCGCCCTGGAGCCGCCCGCGCCGCCCTGGAGCCTCCCGCGCCGCGCACGCCTCCCTTCCACCTGCTCCTGCTCCTGCCCTCGCCCGCGGCCCTCTTTCCCTTCGCTCGCCCACTTTCTGCCCCGCTCGCCAGCGGCCGCAGGACCCGCAGCTGCAATTCTCCCGCGCGGGACCGGCCTTTCCCCACCCAAATTCCACCCAGCATTCGGTTCCCAGCTTGGACAATCCTTCTCCCTGGGCCTGATAATTGCTGCTTCGCGGGGAAGGAGCACAAGAAACCCTTCCATTATGGGCTTGACTACGAGCCAGGATCCCAGCGAAATGAAAAAGCTCTAAACTCTTTAATTTGTGGGTGTGCGTGCCTGCTTTTCATTTTAAAAGAGTCCCCGAAAAGCCTGCAGCAAATAAAACTACTCTGCCTCAGCAGAAAATAAATACCTCTGTGAAAGTGCCAATAAAGGGGGGGGGGGTTTGGGTTGTTCTTATAAAAAAAAGATGGAACTGTGACATTGCGAGTGAACTGCTATTCTTTCAAAATTCAGAACATCTGGAAATCTAACCATCAACTCTTTATTTAAACCACAGGAGAAAGAGGGAAGCAAAAATAACTTTTTAAAAGAAACTTTTTCCTGAAAGATCATCTGGAAAAATGAGAGCTGCATATCCAGTGGTCTTTGCTCACAACTGACTTGGATTGATTGGTGGTCACCAGCCTTTATCTTTTTCGATTTTGAAGTCTGGCCTTCTGTTGGCACACACTGCTTATCTCTGGGTAGATTGCAGCTTATGATTCTCCTGTTGGTGTTTTGTGATTTATTTGGAGGTCAGCACCACCTCCCGGCCTCAACTGGCTTGAATATTGGTGCTAACAATAACATCATCTGGATTTTTTGTGGTCCTCCACTTAATTTATTTCTTGGTAGCATACACTGTGCTTGTTCTGGGTTGGAAAGGGTGTGGAAGTAACTTCATATGGATTGTCTCCAAATTTGCAAAGGATTTTTTAAAAAAATATGATTCTGGACAGTATTGAGTTTGAAATTGCAAAATTAGGGGGTTTTTCTCCGCCACACCCAGAAAGTTACATTTTCCCAGTAATTTGTTTTAAGTGGGGAAAACTTGTTCAGTGAGGAATTGAGTTTATAATAGTATGTGTCACTTACCATACACTTCAGAAATTGATATGTATAACTTTGTCAACCTAATTGCAGATTTGTTGGAAATTTGAAATTCTGCAAAGGAGTCAAGCTTTTGAATTTGGAGGAAACTGGATCACTCATCCCTTAATGCCACCGATATTCTGAGATGTGCAGAAGGTTCATGAAACATCTGGGCATTTCTAGTATATATTCTCAGGAAAAAAGTGCCATGCTGGATTTTTTTTATTTTACCTGTTCTGGATTTTTCTCTCTACTTGTTTGGGTTTGAGAAGGAACATTCATTGCTAATGAGGATCTATAAACTAGGACTTTGCATTGCTCTGCCTCGTCTACCCAAGAGGAAAGTTCAGGCTTTCTGGATTTCATGACAGTTCTAAAGCTATAGCTGTTCTCCGTGTGCCAGAACTAGGGGGTTTTTAAACTTTGGAAATAAATTTTGTAAATGTTAGTCCTTTGGCTTTCAATTCCACCCTGTGGTTGCAACACAAGCTGTTGTGCCAACTGGTTGTGTGTTCGCCTTGCCTGCCTCGGTCCACGCGGCCTGGAAGTGGTCGGGCTTACCCAGATGGCTTTTCTGGGAAAAATCTGCTGACCAAGAAGTTCGGGAAAACTTACAAAAACTTCTGGGTGGAAAAAAAAAGATAGAGGACAGCACTGGAAGTGGCTGGACTTTGAAGAAACATGCTCCCTTCTTTTGAAGGCTAAGAATGATCTGATTTTGTTGGGAATTGTTTTTTCACCTTTGGACTGGAATATCGAGTTGCACCGATTTTGCCAACATTTTCCACAGAACTCTGCTGAAACCTTCCTTCCCAGAAGAACTGGAGTTAAAAAACTAAAAAGAAATCAACACTGGTTATTATATACCTCAGGAGTCTTTCTTCCTTTCGGAGCAACCGACTACACAAAGGAACAGCATGCTGCTAAAGACAGAGCTGTTTTTCCAGAGTATTAACATATGAGAGCAATAGAGAAGATGCCATTCAGCTTACGATTTTCTTGATCTTCAGTTGTCCCTTTCTGCTTCTCCCTCTCGGCATTAGACAATCTGTCCCTTCAACATGTCTGTAAGTATATTTAAATAGGAGAAAGAAAGAATGAACGAATGAACTAGTTAGTCCTGGGCAAAGTCCAGTGGTAAACCAGGAATTGGAAGCTCTTTTGACCTTGGACAAAACATTTACGTGTCGGGGTAAATGACCATTTTCAACATGTGATTAAGGTGCTGGATGCTTTTAAGGGCAGGCCTGCAGAGTGGGGTTGGTGGGGGGGGGGACTGCATAGGAGAGATCTGGGGTTCATGGGCAGGAAAAATAGAAGGAAGTGTAACATTCTTTTAAACACCATTACTAAGCAAAATGCTTTCCATTTCCTTCAGAAACTGTGCGACTCTTCAGCCTAGCCTCCTTTATCCTGGCGTCCCTCAGAAGTCTTGGACTGCAGCTCCCATGATCCCCAGCCAGCATGGCCAATTAATCTCTAGGGCGGCAAATTAGAGAAGGAATGTGCAGTGCAGATTTTGGGTGCAGTTTTGCAGAAGTGCCCAGCTAATCAGTTGCAAAAAGAAGTTTGGTCGGGCTTGACTTGAGCCAGGCCTCAGCCCCTGGACCTGTCTGAATGTTGGAGCTAAGACCACTCAGCATTTCCCGAGTGGATTTAATACATATTTGTCCTTTGCTTCACCGCTGAAGAGTCATAATGATTTAATATATCAGGGGGCAAAGGGTGGGGTATCCCAGTCAAAGAACTTGCTGTCTACTAACTCTAGACCTCTTAGCCATCTGAAAGGAGACTCCATTCAGCATCTGTAGATGTAACAATACAAATTCTTGTAATTGGAGCCGAGACACACGTTGGCTTGTGAATGTTGCTCTTGTTTTCGGGGTCCACGCGCTAAACTCCGTGATCTGAGATCATGCCTGGCAAACGTGCGTTTGTCAACTCCCCAAGTGGCTATTCCCTGCCTCCCCCCTCACCCCCCAGTTGCCAAGTATTATTCATCCTCGGGGTTAACCCTCTAATACAGGAATAGAAAGGCATTATCTTGTTAGAAGTCACCATTTGTATGATCCTGGGTTATTTTATTGGGATGTCCTGGTTTTGCAGAAAGGGGTCTCCTTATCTGCCCCTTAGCTAGTTTTGCCTCCTGTGTTGCATTTGGATTTTACTTTGTCAGACCTAGACTAGGACCTATTTGAAAGTAGGACCTTGTTATTCATATTAACTCAGTTGAAGTGAGATCCAACTCTTTTGTCTTCAGAAGTTCCAATGTGAAAAACTGTTCCACCTTGTGTCTTTCTTTGGGGCTTTTCCATGTAATGCATGAAACACCACAAGTGAACGTTCCCATTTCTGTGTCATGCTTACGGATAGATACACTGACCTTGCTCGGAAGTGTGACCGTTTGTGAAGGGTTTGCCAGTTGCGTAGCAAACCAGAGCTGTTGCTGGAGGATCTGCGCGAGGGACGCCTGTGTCGGCCTTTCCCAGTTTAGCCATTTGGACGGGTCTCTTGCAGTACGTAGTGTGACATTCTTGCAGGTGTTCCTTGGAAAATGTCGAGCATGTAGGAGCTTGTCCAAAGCAGTGGGGCCGACGTAAATGTTCAGAAAAGGTATTTTGTACAGCCTTCCTGAAAATGGTACTGTTTCAGAATTTCAGCAGTGAATGGCAAGACAGAATTAGCTGCATCTAAATCTTTCCTGCCTCTGGAAAGCTAACGTTGTTTCTGATGTGCTAACTTTCTGAGTGCAGGTGCGGGGAAGCAATTCCGCAGACGATTGCCCCGCATTTCAAAGTGGCGTGGCCCCATGCCCAAATTGTATGGGTGGGTTGCTTCAGAGGGTGTGTCCGTGTGTGAGCTCTTGGGATGTTTTGGACTACAGCTCACATCAGCCCCAGCCAGCATGACCAGAGGTCTGGAAATCTGGGGACAATGGTCCAAAACAGCTGGAGGGCACCACCTGGAGAAGGTGTATGTAGGGACTCTTGTTGGCACCTGTTGGAGTGTCACTTTAAATGTGGAGATGCGGGAAGGTCCACATCTGTTTTGGGGGAGGCTCTGCCTTTCTCAAGCTGTTTGCCTGAAGTCGGACGGCACAGGTGCAGAAGCTCAGATGAATGGGCAACATCTGGCAATCCAAGAGACCTGGCCCCACACCTGAGCAGGCCCCTACCCTGAATTTGGGGGTGCTCTGGCTTTTGTGCACCCCCAACATTCCAAAAGCCTGGCATGTTCCCAAGCCACGGTTCCTGACATTAAGAACTTGCAGATAAAATATCCCCATGTCTGGGGATCCCGCTCTTTTCCACCCTGGGGATAAACTTCCACAAACTTCTCCAAAGTGGAGGTTGGCTGCTGTGTTGAAAGAGGCCGTGCCCAGCTGATCTGGAGGATGTTTTGAGATCTTCTCTTGATCTAACAGGGTTGTACGTAAACTGGACGGTGTAAATCCATGAGGCACGGCTCTGCTTATGGATAATTGTGTGGGTGTCTACAAGTGTGATGCTGTTCTTCCATCACACCTAAAATACTGTGGCCCCAGCATGTCCAGAGTTATCTGTGGGAGATAAAGGAATTTGCAGCTCAGCACATCCGAAGGGAACTGAGTTGTGAGGAGGCTGGTGTCTCCCCCTTGATTTGTCCACAACCTTCTGCTTTTTGATGGACAGAGTAACCTATCAGCCCCTCGGGCTTGCTAACTGTGAACGCTGAGGGGCAGTGACTGCCAGGCTGGCTGCATTTGGGGGTGGGTCTGTGGCGTGCCCGTCCCAGGAAGACCACCCAACCCAGACTTCCCCACAGCCGGTAGCCTCCCAGGGAGCCATGCCTAGGTTGGGGATGCCTGATCCCAATCAGGATCAAAAAGACCTGGACAAAAACCGCAAGCATTGCTGGGAGCGATGGAAGCATTTATATATGATGTGCTAAAAGAGGGTGAGGACTGGGGGAAAGGGACTGGCTACCTGGTTCTCCCAGAAGGCTGAGTTTTTCCTCGGATCCCAGGTTTCGCACCCATGATCTAAGCCAGCCTGACACCCTCAGGCATCTTGGACAACAGTGTCCACCCTTCTTCAGCCTGTGTGCCCACTGGGACCAGATGCCACACCGGCGTGAGACCCTCAAGGTTGCTGGCCAAGGACTAATCGCCCCCTTTGTGCTCCGCACCGCCCCCTGCAGGCCCAGCTGTGCCGCGCCCTCTATGACAACGCCGCCGAGTGTCCGGATGAACTGTCCTTCCGCAAGGGCGACCTGATGGTGCTGCTGCAGCCCGAAGCCCCGGGGCTGGAGGGCTGGCACCTCTGCTCCTTGCACGGCCAGCACGGCATCGTGCCGGCCAACAGAGTCAGGATCCTCTCGGAGCCCGGATCCCCTGGGCCGAGCCCTCTGCGCAACCACGGCCCGGGCGAGGTCTACCAGGTGCCCAGGAAGGAGACGGCCCTGGTTGGAACCGTCTACGAAGTGCCCCCGGACGAGCGGAGAAGAAGGGGGCAGAGAAAGGAAGAGCAGGAGGTGAGCGCGACAGTGGGCTTCGTAGTCCCAGACGAGAGCCCCGTCGAGGCTGGGCGCTTCAGAAGCTGCGACGGATTCCCCACGGAGCACTCAGTGCTGTGTCTTGTTCCTGCTGGGGACCAGTTGTAGCCCCACCCCTCTCCCTTTAGCCACACCCCCGCTAGATAATGAGGAATGTTCACAAAAAACAGGGCTCCTGACCATGCAAAGAGTGCCTGTTCCTGCACTGAGCAACTGCAGCTTGCCTTTACACACTGCTCAGGATTAACGAGGAGGACGGTTTTCTGGGCCGGGTGTGGGGGAGTTGGGCGTGAGGGCCGCATGTGAAGTGCCTTTGGGGGCCGGGGGGGCTCTGCCCGTGCCTGGGGGAGGCGGGTTAGACGTGCAAAAGATCTGAGGGACCCACCAACTTGCATGCAATCTGCTGGATTTATCTCCGTTTTCCCTGGGGCAAAGCTAGCCAATTAATTTTGCATCCAAATCATGTGACGGAGAATTAATTCTGCAGTTCATTCCCAACCTGCCTCACATCCTCCCAAACCAACCAACATTTCTCCCGCTAAATATCCTGGGCGCACCTGATGCCGCCCCTCATGAAGCCATATCTCCTGTCTGACTTCTCTCTCTTCCACCCTCCCAACTGCAGGTGTACGAGGTGCCACCCCCTGCCAGGCCGTGCCCCCTGCCCCTGGAAGGAATCTACAGGGTGCCACGCGGCACCAGAAGAGATGGGGACCCCAGGGAGGTGAGTGCTTACGCTTATTCAGGGGATGTGGGGTGAACCCGTGATGTGCCCGACTCCTTCCCCTATTTGAGCCTCTGATCACCAATCCCGTGAGGCTGGACAGGAAAGCAGAGTTGGCCCACTCCTTCACTTTTATGGTGGCATGGGGATTCGGGCCCAGGTCCCACTGGCTTCCTGGTCAGGTCCAGCTCTTCGACTGCTGTGCCACACTGGATCCAGCTCAGCGACTGGGCAGCTTCATGTTCCCCCGGAAGAACTGCAGTGTTCTTTGTACTCCGCTTCTCTGTCACTGCCTGGTTGCTCAATTTTGGCCAGATTCCACCTGTTTGTTTGTTCTGTTTACATCCCTCCTTTCTCCCATTGTGGGACCCCAGCTGCACATGCGGTTCCCAGGTGGTCTCCCCTCCAAGCCTGGGCCAGCCGCAAACCTGCATAGCTTCAACTTGGTGGATGCCATAGGTGGCGTCGGACCATCCTCTAGGCCACTGGTGGCCAACCTCCGGCACGCAGGCCACGGCGGGCACGCAGAGCCCTCTCTGTCGGCACGCGAGCCAAGTCACCTGAGCATCGCCCCAGCAGCCGAGCATCAGATAACAGTGCACATAGGAGCCATGCGCATGGTCGGAAAGGAGCAGTGGCGCCAGGCGATGATGTCATGAGCTGTGACTCATTAGCCACAACTCGTCTGAGCTTTCACATGCCTGGTCAGTGCGCTGCCAAGGATATATATATATTTGCTTGGACTGGCTGTGAGTTGTTTTTTTCTAAACTAAAACCTCAGTTTTCGGGTTTTATTGCAGTGTTGGCACTTTGCGATAAACAAGTGGGTTTTGGGGTGCAGTTTGGGCACTTGGTCTCTAAAAGGTTCACCATCACTGGGTTAGGGTTAGAAAAACGAGGTGTCCTGGTATGATTTTGATGGTTAGAATGCGTTTAGAATGGGGAGAAATGATGAGCTGCGCAGAAAAAGCTACTCAAGGAAGGCTTTTTCAAAATCACCCTATTTTTAATGGAACTTTAGCCCTGTATTAGGGTTAGGGGAGTGCACCAGGGTAGGGTTAAGCCAGTGGTGGCAAACCTATGGCATGTGTGCCACAGCGGGCATGCAGAGCCCTCTCTGTTGGCATGCGAGCCAAGTTGCGCCAGCATCGCCACAGCAGCTGCGCATCAAATCACAGCCCACATAGGGGCCATGCGCATGCTCGGAAAGGAGCAGCGGCGCCAGGCGATGAGGTCACAAGCCGCGACTCATTAGCTGCGACTTGTCCAAGCTTTTGCATGGCTGGTCAGTGCACTGCCGAGGATATATATATATTTGTGTGGACTGGCTGTGAGTTTTTTCTAAACCAAACCCTCACTTTTCAGGGTTTATTGCAGTTTTGGCACTTTGCGATCAATACGTGGGTTTTGGGTTGCAGTTTGGGCACTCGGGCTCTAAAAGGTTCGCCGTCACAGCTCTGGGCTGTGCCTCTTTGAATCTGGAGTGCGTTTTGCCTTTGCGAGCCACACCATTTGGAGAGCGGGGAGACAGTGGGGCTGATGCGGCTTTCTGTCAGTCCACCCCTCCTTGTCTCTTGGGGAGCTGCGGTCACGGACAGCTGGGCCCGTCTGTCGCGAAAGACAGCTGGGCCCAGGCCGGTCTCCGAGGGTAACTGGATCTCGGCCCAAATGTTGGGACGGCTGCCTCTGACCCATATCGAGGCCCTTTTCGACATCCCTTGTTTCCGCAGCCAAGGCGGCAGTTGCCCTAGATGGACAGAAACGTGGAACGCGGCAGCAGGTGTCAGGCAGAAAGAGGACAGCTGGGTCAGGATCTGGAATGGAACGGAGATGTAGGGATCTGGTCTCATGGGGCACGGCAGCGAGGAGGACCTGCTCGTCTGCAAATTCTGTGCGGTGTTCTGCATTCAGGGGCACCTTTTCTATGAAACGCCTTGCCTTGCTCTCTGCTCTTTGCTCTGCTCTGCTCACTTTTGGCGAGAGAACAGGGCGACTGGGAATAGTTCCTAAAATCAGAGAGATCAAACAACCCAAGAGGGAGAACACTTGTTATTACAACACAGGCATGGAAGGCTTTTAACCTGAGCACTGAACTCCTTTTTGGAGATGCTGTTAGGGGGGCAAATTCTGGAGGTGGGTGAGGGCAAAAGCACGGAACCAAAGGTAAAAAGGCTGGGGTGAAAAGTACCCCAAAAATCAAAAACATTATCGTTTAAAGGTGCAGGCCTATGCATATTTAGATTGGAAAGGGGCTGAACAATTCTAATGCACTTTAATGCTCTTTCTGCCACTCCCTAAGGCTTTGGAATGTCATTTCAAATGGGAAAATCACTGCACAAAAGCTCGGAGACCACTAACTGATTGTGACTGGGGAAAAGGATGTGGGGCTAGGGGAGGGGGTCATGGGGTTCTGGAGAACCCTGGGCTTACTCAACCTTCTATGAGACAGCCAGTCTTCCTTTGAGTGCTGTGTGCATTGAGCTCGCGTTTTCCTGCTTTGCATTTTCATTTTTGGAAGACGGGGGCTGAGAATATGAAAGGAAAGGGAAAAGAAAAGGCAGGAGATAAGTTTGCACCATTCTTGTGAGCCAGAAACAGAGTGGAAATGTCTCTTACCATACTGCTTCTGCACTAACATGCTGAACCCTGGACGTGTGGGACACGGATCGTGTCTCCCGAGCAGCAGCGGGTGGTGGGGGCTGACCGTTAGTTAGACAAGGTCCCGCTCTTGCAAAGCTCTTCAGATTTCTAATCTAAGTAATTCCCCCAAAGAAGTTTTAAAATGAAGCAAGGAGAGAAAGCACAGAAGCGGAAACAAACCAGTCCTTTCCCACCCAGCATGGCTCCCCTTGTTACAATTTAAACTTGGTTGAGTAAAACTTAATGGGAGGCTCCCTGATAGGGGAGTAATTTAGAACCCGTTCTCGAGATAAACTTCAGACAAAGGCAAACAGAGATGGCGACAAAGAAATTCCCCTGCACATGGTTTCATGCCGGTTCTCAGAAGGGTTGGGAGTGACGAGAGGAGACGGTGCAGTGGGGTTCCGCCGATGGAAAGGTGTTTGAGTTTGTCCGAAACGTTCGCTTGTCCCCCAGACACCACTTTCACGAGTTGGCTATTTCGTCCGTTCATGTTCATTTATTTTTCTAGGAAAGCCACGAATATCACGACCCTCAAAATATAACACAATTAAAACATAATTAAAAACCTTAAAAGTAGAAAAAGGAAAACCAATTACAAGATACCGGAAGCTACGATAAGCCGCTAGTTTCCTGTCCTTCACAGGAATCTGGGAAAAGAGAGTGTGATTTGGGTGGGCAGAGGGGAAAGCCCCTTACCTAGTTCAGTCGGAGAAAAATGGTAGAACAGGAAAGGCATCTTTGTGTCTGACCCTTTTGTGATTAACTCTTTGTGTAATAAGATCTCCGAGGATGTAATCCGAGGCATGTTTGGTCCTACAGCTTCCACTGGCAGTGCTGTTCCCCTGGACCTATGCATGGAAGGCTGTTTCCAGGGATGGGTGCCAACCACCAAGAAGGCCCTGCTCTCCTGTGATTACCTGCTGAGCTCCTGTTAGACCCAGAATGACCAATAAGGCCTCCTTGGAAGGTTTCAGGGACTGGCTGAGGGAACAGTGAGAGAGAGATTTAGAGGGATAGTGTGGTCTGCTTTCGGTATGGGGAATTCAGTTCTGGCTGAGTCAGAAGTGGGCGTTGTCCCATGATGCTCACACATAGCAATGCTGAATATTCTGGTCGCTTCTGATGCAAAGTGTTTTTGATAGGATCCATGCAGGCAATCAGGCTGGGCCTCCTTCCCAACTCTTTAGGGCATAATCCTATGCGTAGGAGCACAGGATCAGACCAGAGGTCCATCTAGTCCAGCACTCCGTACATGCAGTGGCAAACCAGCTGCCCCAGGATCCCTTCAGCAGGGAGGGTGCAAACCTCCTCCTGCCCAGCTCCCCAGTTACTGGGTGTGCAGGAATGGGACCGACCCTCAGTGACGGAGGGTCCACCCACAGCCGTCGATCAAATTGTGGCGTGTCCGTCCTCACCCTTCTCTCCCTGGGATCTCCCCTTCCTCAGGTTTACGACGTCCCCTCATCCCTGCTCAGGGACTCCCCGTCCGACACATACGACTCGCCCTCCCCGTGCCCCAAGAAGGTGGCACGGGTGGCCCCTCAGCCCACGGTCCTCGTGCCCTCCGATGAGCCCTACGACGTGCCGCTGGCCTTCAAGAAGCCCCCCGGCCCGGAGGGGGAAGAGGAGGAAGACGGCGGAGGCTGCGAAAGGCCCCTCGTCTACGCCACTCCGTCCAACCTGCGCCGGGCCGAGGCCCTGCTGAACCTGTACGAGTCCCCGGAGGAAGTGCTGGGGGGCGGGCGGGAGGGGGCGGAGGAGGGGGAGGACGGGGGCATCTATGACGTCCCCTTGCTGGCCCCCAGCTCCCCGCCCCTCGAGGGGGTGCTCCAGGGGCTGAGCCTGAGGGAGCCCGGGCCGCCCTCCCGCCCCCGCCTGCCTTCCGCCGAGAGCTTGTCCCGCCGCCCGTTGCCCGCCCTGCCCAGCGAAGAGCGGCTGTCTGCGGAGCCCCCTCCTCCGTCGCCAAACATCGTGCGGAAGGGCAGCATCCAGGACCGCCCGCTGCCCCCGCCCCCGCCCCGGCTGGGGGGCCTCGGGGCCGGGGACCCGCTGGAGCACGTCCCGGATGAGGGCCACAACGAGTACGAGGGGATCCGCCTGGCAGACGAGTATGACTACGTCCACCTCAAGGTAAGTGCGAGCCAGAGCTTGCTGCAAACCTTCCAGCCCCCTTTGCTCCCACGACCAGCGCAGGGGGCTTGTCCTACCCAGTTTTCCTGCTCTCTTCTCTTGGATCTGCATCCCATCTTACCAAGCAAAGTTTCCTATGTTGTGATTTACGTTCCTCATTTGTTTCCCGGCCTGAAGCACCGTTTTCTATAATATTCCATAAAAGGGGCAAGAGATGTTTTTCTAAGTGATGGGAAAAACGATCTGTGGGATTGGCTGAAATCCATCAGGTGAAGTTTTTCCTTTCTCTGGCTGGATTTCCCTGACGCGAAAAAATCAGATAAACCTGATACTGCTCTCTCCTCTGCCTTCTGTAGAAACCCCTCTTCTCTCACATGCATTAGTCCTTCTGTCCGATTCTGGGGGATTTTTCCTTCCCAAGCTCACGCCGTTCAGCATAATTTCCTGGTTCTCTGTGTGAGACGAGGCAAGTCCACTTTGGCCAAGCGGTTGATCTGGCATGAATCTGGATCCAACCCTTCATCCATAAAATAAAGCATAACTTTGGATGTTAAACCTGATCAAGGTCATACATAACAAGATTAAGACATGCAACATGTGAGCAGAGCCGGCTGGAGCCGGGGGTCAGACTAGATGGCCCAAGAGGACCCTTCTGACTCGCTCTGTTTCTATGTTTCGAAAAGAGGGAAGAAGAGGGGGAACATGAAAAAACCCACATGCAGCAGAAGGATTGATTCAGTTTGTACCATCCGTAAAGGAAGGGCTGGAGGAATCCCATCTGAAAACCCCACCTCTGCTTTGTCCCGTCTGGACCTCATAGATCCTGCCCTTTCCAAACTTGGCTCATTCGGGCTCCAACTCTGCCCGGTTTGACCTCTGTCTGTGCCCATTTTGGGAACCCGCACAGGGACGGGCAAATTTGGATTCACTGAACACGTACCTTGCGATGGCTTCCCTCCAAGATACACAGCTGGTCTGCTTGTATTTTAGTGGAATTTGAGCTTCTCAGGTAGCCAGATATTTTGGCAACTCTCAGGGCTTTTGTTCGGTGTCGTGAGCCAAAGCTACCCTGAATACGCACATGACTTGGCCCCTCTTTTTTCCCTAGGGGGCAGATAAAGTGCAGTCCAAAGCGACGATTCCTGAAGGGAGCCCCAAACTAGCCCTCCCTGGAGACACTGCTCAGACTGAAGATACGGTATCGTCTGCTCTTCACTTTTAACCATGTGCTTAGCTTGCATTTCAGGCTTGCAGTTTGCATGCGCTGGGAGATGAGTCGTCCTTGCGAGGTAGGACTCCGCTTTGCGGAGCTGAGATACAAAACCCGGCTTCCCTCGACACTGGCAAACCCCTTTTCCAAGAGAATGCATGAGCTTGCTCTTTAAAACAGAAGAAATAAGGCGGGATATAAATCGAATAAATAAATAGGTAATAAACATAAGAAGGCAGGTGGAAAAGGGGGTGACCTATGAGGCCTTTCATCTTTAATTCTCCCAGGTGTGCTTTGGAGTGACATATCAAGCGTTGTGGTAGAGGCATTATGGGGGAATAGAAGAGTCCTGTTGTGGTGGCCGCTCACCTCTGGAACGCCCTATTCAGGCTGATGTCTTCACTGTATACATTTAGATTCCAGCTTAAGAGCTACCTTTTCCCACAGGGAATTAATTCATCACTAATCTGCTGCTTTGTTTATTCACTTTGTGGCCTTTTAATGTTTTTTAGATGCAATTCCTTGCAAGTTTAGATGGACAAAAGAGGCATGCGTCCCTTCCTCAAAGTCCATCATCCCCTGGGAATAGCCAAAATGCCCCATCGTCTTTTTGTGCCCATGAACCATCAGGCAGATTTTCTCTCAAATATGAAAAGCATGCAAACACTTGGCCACAACTTAAATTTTCCCACATTTTAAGCTACCTGCTTCTGTTTAAAGCTATTATATTTATAGCTATTTTTCTGGAACTCCCAAGGAATAAAGATCCAGACCTGGAGAACAGCCATTTTCCTTAAAATTCTCCTTTGAAATCAGGGATTCCCGCAGTGAATCACCTCTGTACGCACACTCCGTGGCATCGTAAAACTATAAAATATTTTAATGTTCTCCCTAGCAGCACTAGATCACCAAAATGGCCAAGGTTAGCTTGTTTTAAGCTAATTTTACACTTATGGTTCTCCAACCTAGAGATGGAGCATGAAAACAGCCTCAGAGTCTTCAGATTGGCTGCCCTGGCTGCCAGTCTGCTCTTTACGTTTTTGTTTTCTGGTCTTGGGGGCAGCAGGTTCCGTAATGCCTCCTCCGCCTCCCTCTCCTGCTTCTAGGTGCCAACTTCCCTGGAAGACAGCCAGCTCCTCCGCTTCTACACGGAACAGTGTCAGAACCACTACACCACGCTGCTTTCGGCCATCGAGGCGCTCCTCGCCAGCGCCGGCGCCCACCAGCCCCCGAAGGTCTTCGTGCCGCACGGCAAGTTCGTCATCGTCACAGCGCACAAACTGGTCTTCGTGGGGGACACGGTGTCCCGGCTGGCGTCCTCCGCCGTGGTGCGGGCGAGGGTGGGGGCGGCCAGCGGGGCCCTGTGCCAAGCCCTGAAAGAGGCCGTGCTCGCCGTCAAGGGGGCGGCCTTGCGCTACCCTTCGCTCCCCGCCGCCCGGGAGATGCGCGAGTGCGTGGCTGAGCTCTCGCGCCAAGCCCTGGCGTTCACCTCCTTGCTCGGCACCCTGGCGCCTTCGTGATCCGGCGATCGGCCCCGCTCCGATGCGTCACCGGCATCCATCCGATCCCCTCCGCGGCGACACCAGCTAGGACCCCCTCCGGCCGCAATAATTTGCACATCACCTCGGACCGGTGCCCTGCGGACCCACGGTGTGCATGGGGAATTGTGCTGACGTTTCCTTTGAACCTTGCCTGCCCGTTCGGGCAGCGCTCGGTTACAGCCCTCAAAAGCAGCATTTGCCCTCTGGCTCTCGAGTGCCCCTCTTCGACTCTACGCAAGATAACTTTGCTCGGTAACCTTCATGCGTCCTTCCTAAGCAAACAAGGTTCGTGGTTTGTACCTCCAGCACTCTTATTTTACAACCAGAAACGAGCACAGAGTCTTCGGCGGCGTCTTCGTTTTCACTTCCCGTCTTTTGTACCTGCGACCTGTAACCTTTGGTAACTCTTCTTCCCCCAGTCGGGTTCCCACTGCTGTGGTGACCATCCATATTTTCCCGCCTCCAAGATTATAGTGTCTCTGCATTATTTTCCCAGAAACCCCTGCAAAAGGGGCAGTGTTGGGTTGTAGACCAAAGACAGGAGTTGAACTCGCATGCGCGGTGGCATCCCATGGATGGATCAGATGGCAGATATCAGGGATCCAACTCCATTCTCTGGCACAAAGCCTTATGGGAAAGGAGGAAGGAGGAAACTGTTGGGAAACAGCCCTTCTTATCCTGGAACAAAGGATCCTGGGACAATGGCTGGAAAAAAACAACAAGACAATGGCCAATATTGCCTCATCGGAGAGGATTATGGGGGCATGGCGCAGAAAGGGCAAAAGCTACCAGATGCAGAAAGATGGCCACAGGAGGAAGGAAGCAAAGAAATCTAGGGCAGAGGGAAGCTGAGGGGAAGGAGGAACTGATAAAAATGGACAATGGGGTGATTGGTCAATGCGGATGAGCCAGAATGCACGACGTAGAAGATAAAATGAAGGTCCCTGCAGCCTGAAGGGGCCGCGGATCGGTGAGGAGGCGCAAGAGCCAAGCAAGGAGATGGGTGAGCCATTGGCGGGATAGACAAAGTTAGCATCTGTGTACGGCTAAGAGAAGTCAGACTGACCAACCCAATTCTTGGGTTGGCCAATTCCTTTCTTCCTCTGAAATTCCCCCTCTGGCTTTGCTTTCTTTCTTGGACAGTCGCCAACCAAATCCTCAGTTTATAACCCCCCCCCCCATCAGACCCTTCCTCATCTCGTTTCCTCATGAGGAAGCCGATGGGGTCAAAACACCTCTCTCAGGAAATATTTGCCAAGGTATTTTATAGGTTTGATCATAATAAAATGGGTGAAAAAACCATGGCTTTGTTTGTGTGTGGGGGGGGGGTGGGGGGGTAGGGGGACTTCCTCCCAAGCACTGATGTCTTTCCACCCCTTAGCCGAAACAACTTGGAAACATTTTCATTTTATGTTTAATTATAGACACATATACAGAAAAACGTATCAGAAAATTACTGAGGCTCACACAATGTATCAGAGTAGTTGTAAATGCAAAATGATCAAATAATCCAAGGATGCTTTTCTAATACTAGAAAAAAATAGAAATTCCTCCCTCCCCCCCCCAAAAAAGAAGCAATAAAGTGGAATAGTCATAAAATGTGATTCAGTGATCATCAGTTCTCAAAGGGCAAAAGATGTAAATTGGGTTTTACCTTTTTTTTTTTTTTTTTAAATTTGGACGTCATCTCTGGGAATACCCAGACGTGGTTCTCAAAACTGACTACTGAAAAATAACCCTGTCCGTTAGGTATGGGGCTACCAAATAATAATTTGATTTCCAAATTGCAAAAGTAAAGCATGTAAGATTTAAAACAAACACTCTCTACGTTGCAATCTGCTTTCTCGATATCTTAAGTGTAGCTCATGTTTTTGTCTGCCACCATGAGGTCTAGAAGATTGCCACAGCTATACATAGCTGAGCAAAAGAGCAGTGGCAAAAAGACAGCCTACAGAGCCGTCTTCCAGGAACAAGATGAAGACGGCTGAAAAGGGCTGAAATAGGGCTGAAAAGCATGTAGCTTAAAGATTTCAGTCAAAATCAGCTTCATGTGAGCATTGGAGATAGTGAAACGTTTGGTGTGCTTTCTTTCAGCTAATTATACGCTGGCCCAAAGCACACCTTAGTCCCCTCTGAGGCTTCTTGTAATCTATTTGCTGAAAAGTTGGCAGGATTAAAGCGCTTTCCTCCAGTGGGACTCCCATTCCAGAGTTGGATTAAGTGCATCAGGTGAGGTAACCAGAGTACAGCCTGGTCGGTATTTTTTTGGATGATTCCAGTTAGAACAGTTTAGAACAGATGTTGACAAGGAGCTTGGATTGGTTCATACATCACTTCTGGACCAGATCCCTGCCCCAGATGGATTGGGGGGATGATTATTGCCTCCCACATCATCCGAAAAAGGTGGCAGCCCTTCAGAAGTGGGCTGCCAGAAGTCTTCTTCTGAAGAAGGACTTCTTCATAAGTCCTTTCTGGACCTGGAAGATTTTAACCGTTTTAGGCCAGTGGCAAATGTTCCGTAGCTGGGCAAAGTTCTTGAGAAGTTGCTAGCCAGCCAGATCCATCCATGCTTGGATGAAACAAGATGATTTGGATCCATTTCAGCCGGGTTCAGGTTGGCTTTTGACAAAGAAGCTGATTTGGTAGCCCTGTAGGGTGACCTACGCTGGGAAAGAGATGGGGAACTCTGATTCTGTTGATAGGCCTGGATCTTTTGGTGGACTCCATGATGTCCTCCCTGGTCAGCGGGGCCTCCTGAATTGCAGCATTTCTACTCCTGCTTGGCCAGTTCCAGAAGGTGGTGCTTGAGGAACTGTTTGGCCTCGAAGGTTCTTCAGCATGGGATTCCCCAGGGGTTAGGTTCGTCCCTCATACTATCCAGCCTCCGTGTGGACCTGTTGAGCGTGGTCTCCCGGAGTTTTGGCGCACCTCACCTTCAGTACTTCAATGACGCATAGCTCTACCTTTCCTTTTCTTCTCGAGTTGGGCCTGTGGATGTGCTGAACCAACGCCTGGCTGTGAGAATGGACCGGATGGGGGCTCACAAACTTAACCTCAATCCGGGCAAGGCAGATGCCGCCAGTGGGCCGCATCTGGATGGGGTCGCACTCCCCTTGAAGGAGCAGGTTCATAGCTTAGTGGTCATTCTGGGGCCTCCCTTGTTTTCTGAGAGATGTCGCAGAGTGCCTTTGGCTAGTGACCCAGTTATGCCCCCTATCTGGGCAGGGACAGCCTGGCTTTATTAATCCTTGACTGGGGAATGTGACAGCCAGGTAGGAATCGGTAGCACCAGTTCTGGCCTGCTTGCTTTGGATACCTGCCTGCATCAAGGTGTTGCTTTCAAGCCAGAAAGGCTGATGTGGCTTGGGGGGGAGGTGTGTCCCCCTCTGTCATGAAATAATCTCCCCATGGAGGCCTGTAATATTATAGGGCCAGGTGAAAACTACTCCCACATACATAATAGTATTTAATGTCACCTTTTGAGGAGAGATTTAAGCCAGGTATCCTTTTAGTATGTCTATTTTCATTGAAAGGATTTTATATTTTGTCTATTAAAAGATGATGTGGTATTTTATTTACCGCAGTTGTACTCTGTAAGCTCTGTGAATTGTAAAGGGCCCAGAACGCTTTGGCGATTGAGTGAAAGGGAACCTAATAAATGAAGATGTTGACAGTGGCGCTGTGCCACGTGAGCAAAACCAAGACGAAACAGTGACGATAAAATGGAACCTGCAGGTGTGTTTCCCTCTGTCTTTTCTGTGAAAGGTCACTACCTCCAGACAGAACTGGAAAAGCCAGAAACCCAGGAGAAATCTGCCAGGCAGCCATCTGAGGGGGACGTGGGACCCCATGGCCCTCTGGCCCAACTCTGCTCTTCTGGGATTCTGCCACCAAGTTCGGTGTTCCTAGCGGTGGATCCTAAGTTTAGGATTTAAGAAGCAAATGTGTGGGGTTAGTTCAAGGACCTCTGCAAGTGGCGTCTGTTTCGCCTTCCTCCAGCTCCTCACAGCCAACCTTGGGACGAGAGATCGGGGCTTCCTCTCGGTCACCCAGGGAACAGGCCTCCCAACCGAGCGCGCCCAATCCTAGGACAGCGTTGCAACCACTAGACCACGCTGCCTTCACGCGAACGCTCCGACCAAATATTTAAGGCAGGATCTGGGCCAAGTTCAGGCGGGGGCGGCTCGGTGCGTGCAGGAGCGGCGGGCCTGCCATTCTGCAGGGAGCGCCGCCTTACTATTCCGGAACCCGTATCCCGCACTACCTTTGCTCGGGCCGCCTCGAGGGAGACCCGTCGGCGCGCGAGCCTGCGCGGCCCCCGGATCCGTCGGGCGGGCGGGCGGCCAAGGCGCTGCGGACGCACCTGGCCCGGGCGAGGAACCTGGCGCGCTCGGAGGCGGGCGCGTCCCCGGCGGCCGCGGCGAGCGCAGGTACGAGCGCCGGGCGGGGGGCGCCTGCCCTGCCCTGCCCTGCCCCGGCCACGCGCAGCAGCCCCGCGAGCCCTCCGGC